ATATAATATAATATAATATAATATAATATAATATAATATAATAAATAAATATATGAAATGGTAGCATGTCTGAGGTATTGGAAACACAGCGCAGAGGCCACTGCGGCCTGGCCTGGTCCCTGGGAGCCCCCAGCGCACACAGTGCACACAGAAGGCGCCCAGTAAGTCCTGGGAGGAGGGATGTGTGGCTCCCCAGCTCGGGATCAGGGACCGGCTTCCGACCGGCTTCCGACCGGCCTGCCGCGCCCGCCCCGCAGGGACCTCGGGCGCCGGTTCTCCGTGGAGCGCCTGCCGGCTGTCGTGGTGCTCAAGCCGGGCGGGGACGTGCTCACCCGCGACGCCACCGACGAGATCCGGCGCCTGGGCCCCGCCTGCTTCGCCAACTGGCAGGAGGCGGCGGAGCTGCTGGACCGCAGCTTCCTGCAGCCCGAGGACCTGGACGACCCCGCGCCGCGGAGCCTTACCGAGCCGCTGCGCCGCTGCAAGTACCGCGTGGACCGGGCGGCCCGGGGCAAACGCGGCCCCGGGAGCGGGAGCCCGCCCGAGGGGGAGGGCGGGGCGGAGGGCGGCGGCGCCGGGGAGCTGTTCTGACCCCTGCGGGGAGGATGCGCGTGGGGATTCTGTGCTGCAACCTCCCGAAGAGTGCCGCCCCAGACACTAAGGGGACACAGCAGGGGACACTTGAGGCAGACGTCCTAGCGTCGGGGAGCAGCGCCACCCCCCCCAGCACGGGGGCCTCGGACTAAACAGCGGGGCTTCAGGAGATGCAAAGTGCTGCGGAGTGGGGGTGGGGGTGAACAAGAAGACAGGCAACCCAGTCAAAACTAAGAAAAGGACCTGAAGAGGCATTTCTCCAAAGAAGATCCACAAACGACCAGCAAGCACACGAAAAGATGCCCAGCATCATTAGCCATTAAGGAAATGCAAATCAAAAGCACCGTGAGATCCCACTTCTCACCCAGTAGGATGGCTGTAATCAAAACCCAGCACATAACAAGTGTTAGCAGGGAAGTGAAGAAAGTGGAACCGTCCAGCATTGCTGGTGGGAAGTAAAAGGGTGCAGTTGCTGTGGAAAGCAGGGTGGGGTTCCTCAATAAGTTAAATATATAATGACCATAATTACCAGCAATTCTACTCCGAGGTATAAATCCAAAAGAAATAGGGACTTAAACAAATAACTGTGTGTGCATGTTCTAGCAACACTATTCACAACAGCTAAAAGGTGGAAAAACCCCAAATGCCCCTCAATAGACAAATGCATAAATAAAATGTGTTCCGTCCATACAGTGGAATGCTATTCAGCCATAAAAGGAATGAAGAACTGGTACACGGTACAACATGGATGAACCTCAAAAACATTGGGCTCAGTGAAAGAAACTGGACACAGAAAGTCACATAGTGTCTGCCTCCATTTATATAAAATGTCCAGAACAGGCAAATCCAGAGACAGAAAGCAGATCAGTGGTTGCCAGGGCTTGGGGGAGGGGGAGTGGGGAGTGACTGCTCATGGGGAATGGGGTCTCCTTTAAGGATGATGAAAATGTTCCGGAACTAGACAGAGATGCTGTTGGTACAACACTGTGTATGTACTAAATGCCACTGAATTGTTCACTTCAGAATGGTTTCTTTCATGTCATGTAAATGTCACCTCAATTTTTTAAATTAAAAATAAATAAATAATAATAGAAAACCGGCCATGGGAAGAACAAAGCCCAACGGCAAAAGACAGGAGTGCCTCCTCAAGCGGGGGCCCCAAAAGGATCTCGTCCAGGAGGCGACGTTTCTGCAAAGCCTTGAAAGAAGGTCGAACGGAAGGGAAATCGCAGCCAGTTGCAAAGTCCGCAGGTAAGAGACCGAATATCAAAATGAATTATTTAGAAATTCGTTCAAGTTTCCTTTTTTTTTTTTTTACAGTTAAAAAGGTGCTTAGGGCAGTGGGTGGTGTGGGGGGTCGCTTTAATGAGTTTAGGGGCTTGCGGGGCTCCCTGGATCCTGCCGCCGAGCCCTTGCGGCTCTTGGGGCGGCCTCGGTCCCTTCTTCGCCCCGCCCCGCGCCGGCCCCGCCCGGCCAGGACCTGGAGGCCGGGAGGGGGCGCCCGCTGGGTCCCCGGAGGGAGGAGAAGACTTTGTCCCAAGTTTTCGCGGAGTTTCCTCGTCCCCACCGCGATCCGCACACCAATCCCTCTACGGCCTCCCAACTTTCAGACACCCCTTGCCGTCCCGCCCTCTCCGGAACTTCTGGGAGCCCTTGGACGCCCGCCCAACTCCCCTGCCCCGTTACAATCTCTTCTATTCCTCGACTGCCCGCCCCCTTACCCCGGCCCGAAGACCCCCGCTATGGCCCGGTCGTACGGCGGCCGGGTGCTGGCCGCGATGACCCTGCTGGGCATCCCCGCGGCTGTGCTGGCGGCGCTGGGAGCGCAGCTGCTGTTCCAGCTGCAGGCGGGCCGAGCGGAGTTGCGGGGACTGCGCGCCGACGGGCTCGGCCCCGAGCTGGGTGCCGGCCCCGGGCTGCCCGAGGACGCGGCCGGGGCGCTGCTGCCGCTGGCCGCCGCGCTCGCCGCGCTCGCCCTGGTGTTGGGCCTCACCTGCCTTCTGCTCGCCGCGCTCTGCGGCCACCTGGGCGCCGAGCTGGCGCGGGGGCCCGGCCCCGGCAGGTAGGACAGGCCCCTCCGCCCCGAGGCCCGGCTGGGGGCTGGGCGAGCCCAGGCGAGCCGCTGCCCCTCTCGGGGCCTCACGCTGGGGGAGAGCTTCCCCTCTTCCTTTCTTCCATCCGGTCCTCCCTTCCTCCCTTCTCTCCATCCCCCACTCCCTCTATCATCCCTTCCTCCCTACATCCTATATTAGTTGAAGATTTGTAGCAGGTGCACCGACTGCTGCACCCTCCATTTTACAGAGGTGGAAACTGCGGTCACAGAGGACCCAGGGGCGGCTGGCCTCCGTGTTGATAGCGCTTGTCATTGAGGGAACCCTTAAGCTTTACGCGCTTCTCTCGTTCTGTGGACTCGCCCAGTGAAGGCCCGCGCGGTCCCTGCGCAGCTGATGTTGCGACCTCCTTTTGTAACTGTGCCTCACACAGGGGAGGCTGATCTCTCTAGGCTGCCGGGTTTGGAAGCGGGTGGACGAGATCTGAACTTGCTTCTGGTAGAGCCAGAGCCTGTGCTCTGGCGCTGGGTGGGCTTCCTTCCTCAGGCACCTGGGCTCACCAGGAACATGGTTACCTGGGAGGCAGGTGTCAGGGGGCAGGGAATGCTGGGAGGAACCTTCCCAGTGTTTCCCTCCAGGATGCTGGGGGCGGGGGGGGGGGGGAGAGCCAGAATCAGGGTCCAGGATGCCATGGATTAGAACGGATGGGAACTTCCACCACTGGAGTAGATCCCACCTAAAGTGTGCATTATCCATTCCATAGCTCAAGGGGTGTGGAAATGCACTGGTGGGTCAGTCAACAAATATGTGTTGGGTGCCTGCAGAGGGCTGAGCCCAGCACCGGGAGTAGAGGACACAGCAGGAACCAGGCGGACCCAGACCTGCCCTCATGGGGTAGACAATACAGACAAGACTGTAATGTCAAGTGAGGATGAATGCTGGGAAAGGAAGAAAATGGGGTGATGTCGGGGAAGACGACAGGGTGGGGGGTTGAGATGGGACCATCAGCAGAGGCTTGAGTTGGAGACTTGAAGGAGGAAAGGAGGCAGAAGATCTGGAGGACTGTGATCCAGGCAGGGGGAACACCACGTGCAAAGGCCCTGGGGCAGGAATGAGCTTGGGGTGTTAGAGGGAGGTCGAGGTGATGGGTGTGGCCAGAGGGAGACATGAGGGAGATAGGGGCAGGGAAATCAGGAACAGGACCATGTAGGGCTCCTTGTGCTGTGGTGAAGATCTTGGGGTTTACTCTGCCTGAAAGAGTTATGAGAAAGGAGGGGCATGATCTGACTTCAGTTTGGAATAACCCCCTCCAGCCACCATGGAAAAAAGGGGCCAGGAGGGCAGATGGTGGGGAGATGAGGGAGGAGGACACTTCCACTGCACTGGTGGGAGGTGAGTGATAATGGAAGCTCTCAGAGCCTCCGTTTCCTAAGCTTTCAGGAACGGGGAAGGGAGAGTGCACAAACAGAAGCACTTAGCATGGTGCCAGGCTCAAAACCAAGTCGTCAATCAGTCTCAGCTCTTGGGAATCTCTTTCTATCATCTCTGATAACAAGTTACCCCTGGTTTCCTCATTTCCCAAATAAGCTTATGGTCTGTAAAATAATGGAAGTCAGGTGTCTAGCAAGTGTCTGTGCATAATAGCTGCTTCATGAATGTTGGATGTTTGAATGGACTGATGTATATGGGTGGGTCACGGGAGAGCAGGGAAGGGTGGTGGATGGATGAGTGGTGAATGAGGGATGGATGAATGGACAGATGGATAGTTGGTTGGATCAATGGATGGTGAATGGGAGATGGACGGTGGATGGATGGGTGGGTGAAGGATGAATGGATAGATGGATGGATGGATGGATGGATGCGTGGGTGGTGAATGGCAAATGAATGGATGGATGGATGGTGGCTGTTTAAATAAGTGATTAGATGGATTAATAGGTCCCAGTTAAATGGATGGATGACTGTATGGTTGAATAATAGTTGGGGATGGGTAGATGGTAAATGGTAGTGGACATTTACCTGGAAGGACGGATGAGGGGGTAGATGGAGAGATGGATGAATGGATGGATGGGTCCTCACATAGATCTCAGGTCCCCCAAAGCTGGGCCACTCTCCCTCCCTCCTCCATGGCCTTCCCCCACCAGCTTCACCCCCTGAACCCGTTTTCTTCCTGCCCCACTTCCTCCCAGGTCTGACTGGTTTCTCTATGACTGCCGCCTCCTCAGACACGTGGCCCTTGGCCTTTTCTGCTGTGGGGTCTCTGTCTACTTAGCAGGTGCGTGTTGGGGAATAGAATATGGGGTGTAGAGCCCTGGGCGGGGGTGGCCGGGGGTAATGACCCCATAACTGAAGTCAGCTCTCCAGAGCCAGTCTGCCTGTGTTCGACTCTCGGCTCTGACACTTTCGTGCTCTGGGACCTTGGGCAGATTCCCACTGTGTCTAGGTTTCCTCATCAGTGCAGTGGGATGCATACATCCCTGCCTTCTAGAATTGTTGAGGGGATTCTGGGTTAGTCCCTGTGAAAGCCCATGCATGGCATCTGACCCCAGTGGGGGTTCCATAAGTCGTATTGTCTTCAGAACATTCTTGATTCTTCAGTTTCCTACATTTGGTTTGAACAAAAGTTTTCATGTCCTTGGTGGTTTTCTGGAGATAGTGTTTCACAGGTTGGTCTTAGTAAAAAGCTGTTTGGTTACAAATATCAGAACCTCCAGCTCAAGAATGGCTTAGGTTTAAAAAAAAATGCTTTATAAACTAGAAATACAGTTGTAAATCCCAAAACATGAAGCAAAACAAAAACTAATAATGTGGGTACCAGAAGGACACAGCGCACAGTCTTCCCTTCCCTGACCTGTAATAACTTTTCTTAGATCAACATTCTCTCACCCACACTTGCCGGTAAAGGAACCAAATCATCAAGTTTCTTTAAAGAGACTCCTGACATTTTATGTTTTGTTCTAATCTTGAAAAATGTGTTGATAATGCTGCAGACTCAGTGCTGAATCATACATAGACCACGGGGACCCTTATAAACAACCCGTTTTCCTAGAAGAAGAAAATATTCAGCTGAATGAAAAAGAAGGGATTTGCTATTACTGTCTTTTTTTCATTCCTACAACAGAAAAATAGAAGTTTAGAAGAGATATTTAAATTATTTATTTGTGAGATGTGAGCCTAGGGTTCATTATGGGAATATAAGGGTATATATGGGTATATAAAGTGCAGGGAACTCTGCATAACTTTTGCTGTTTGACTCAATAAAATGCTCCAGCTGTGAGGTTTTTTTTTAAGATTTTATTTATTTATTTGAGAGAGAGAATGAGAGAGAGAGAGAGAGAGAG